ACCTCAACTTTTGTGTATGGTAAATTTACTAATATACTTAATGTGAACGAGTTATATATAACTTGTTCACATTAAGTACGAATTTAATACAATGCAAAATATACTTAGAATCGGAAAAAACAGGATAATGATACTTATAGACATGTATATCTAACGCCGATCGATTACAAACTGACCGTAATATAGCCATGAAAAGTAACACAGAAATATGCGTAATGTAAAATATTGTATCAGTTATAACGAGAAAAGGAAAACTTGAAAAACCCCCTATACCAACCCGTCCCTTTCTAAGGAGAGACCTATGTCCAGCAGAGGAGTTTTAAAGGCAAGATTGATAAGCATGATGATGATGAAATCAGAAGGGTAGATACAAAAATGAACGCATAATTTCCAAGAAGCAAATTACTCTAATTTGGCTACATTTAATATCAGTGATAAGCGCCTTACAACGTTTCACTGACAAACAAGCAGATAACCTATAAAAGTGTAGAGGGATGTTTAGTAATTAACTCGAAGGCTTTCAATTGAAACCTATTGTCAGAATACAACCATCTCTCACGCCAAACAAAGATCAAAGATGCTGATTCCTATGGTTTATAGCTGTCTAAACCATAGGAATCAGTATCTTTGACTAATTCTAATTAGTCTTAATTTGCCGATCATGTTTACACATATATGAACGAATTGGGCCGACAAACGACTTTTTTCAAGTCGTCGCACGACTTGAAGAAAGTGGCTTGCAGCGGATAGGTGCGGACTGCCCAAGAGCGGGATAGGTGGTGCTCTTTAGAGGAGGCCTTTATTCAGCCGTAAATAATAGACTGATGATGATACTACCGCGATTAGGTTAAAACTATTATGTGAACGAACTGTGCAGGAGTCGTTACTTAAAATAAAAACCTTCGTACTGAAATTTATAATTGACTACACGGCGTAGTGCTTTAAGTAGTCGCCATGCCGCTTACTACTTGGACATGGGACGATCCACAAATTGTTGTTCTGAGTCTGGGTGTTCTTTGTGTCCGTTTCATGCAGGTTTGTAAAATCCCCCGCAACACAGGATATATTTCTAAAGGGGGAACTCTCTTTTAAAAAAAAGAAATTTGAATAAAGTGGTATCACATCATTCAAGGGGAGTAGAAGTTTTTTACACAATTTTGTATGTATTTTGGTTGTTGTCGAGTTACCTGTTTAGTTGAGTTTAGTGACAAATTAATGAATGCTACAATCGATGGCCTTATCTTGGCAATATGTTTATACAAATAGTTATTTTAGCCACAATAGAATAAACTCCTCCAAACAACGGCCGATCTAATTCATCAATTTGGGCATCACATTAAACTTAGAATACTAATAGACATTTAATTTTCGTTACTATCAAACGAATGAAACTCATAAGGGCCTATCTACAATATTAATAGTTAAGTGTTAACTTTGAGCAATAAAGTAATTTAATGAGTAATTAGTTTCAGTTGTTTACATAGAATAGCAGGTAAACAACAAAAAAAATTAGAATTGACTTCAATATCTATCTTAATTATTGTGTTATTTTTTAAAATAATTAGTCGCTTTAATTGTTAATTTCATCACATATTTATTTAATAACCTGGTTATTATCGTCAATACTCGAATATGACGACACCAAATATTCTATTTAAAGTTTTACTGTTGTGCAAGTTACAGCCTTTTCAACTTAAGAGACTTATTTGTCGTTTAACTCTAAATGAGTATGCGGGGTGGCTTAAATATTTTTCTCATAAGTGTGGGCAAGGGTTTATCTTAAACTGTTAAATAAAACTATCGCAAAAATTTACCGGCCATATGAGTCCATATTAAATCACCAAACACGTTGATACAAAATTTGTACCAAATACACTAACAAAAAACTAGTCAATAATAACTTTGCTTTATGTGTTCATTTTTTAAACATTGTTGGTGGTGATATCATTTAATTTTTATCAATACTTAATTTTTTACTACCATATTCAGATAAGGCATAAAATAGTAATTACATAGTGCGATAAAATAGTCATAAAATAACTATAAAAAGCACATGAAAGTTTATTGTATGGAAACCTAACCGAGACTGTCATATTGGACATACAAGTCTTAATCTTAGCCCCACCTGCGGATAATTTGAATACATAAAACTACTCAGTGAAGTGTGTCACTGTACCAATGAAGCTAATAGTCTCAAGTTAAATAAAATTATAAAATACCAAGCGTAGTGGCATCTTCACGGTGCAATTTGCAATGCGTTTGACATAAAGCGTGCGTACCATTTAAGTGTTTGGGTTGGCCGTCGTTTTACGAGAATCTTGATGGTTATTCTATTGTACGTTGAACGAGATAATGTTACAACAAGGGGACGGACTATGCGCACGCACGTTGCCTGCCATTTGGATAAAACTGACTACAGTTTATTGTTATATATTTTTAATAATTACAACTCGTAGCACAGACTCGGATATTTCTTGTTATCTACAGAAATGTAGGCTAATTGAGGTTATAATTTTAGTATTTTCTAAGCATTTCGTTCTTCTTGTTAAACTAAAAGTAATATTGATTACCACGGAGAATATCTATTGAGTTTGTAGGATTCAGCACATACTAGACGGCATACACAAAAAAATTGCACTACTAGTGAGAGCATCTAATTGATACAAAACTTAGTCATCAACAGCCTTTAATAGTCCATTGCTGGACATAGGCCTCTCCTTAGAAAGGAGGTTTTGACCTACTATACCACGCTGGCCAGACGGATTGGTATAGGGTTTGTTTCAAGTTTTCCTTCTCTCTGCAGTGCTGTTGTCCTGCGTAGTTTGCTCCCTTAGTTCCTCCCTAGTCGCCTCTTACGACACCCATGGGATGAATAGGGGTAGTGACACTCTGTATTCTTTAAAGGACTCAGTACATAGTAGTAAAATAATTTTTTTGAAAATTAATTCTTTGAGAGTGTGTAAACAAGCAATAGGAAGTTAACAATTTTTTTTTTTTGATGACATAGGCAAACACGCAAGCGGGTCATCAGATGGTAACTGACTACCGCCTCTTAAGGATATCTGCAATATAAGAGTCACAAGTGCTTTGCCTGCCTTTGAGGTGGGAATGCGCTCTTTCTCCATAACTTGAGGGTTACAGCGACAACGAAATAACGCAGGCGACACTCAGTTCCAAAGTTTGGCTATTCGATGAAAAGATTCCTAGAAAGAGCACAGTGATGGAGATGAAATACTATTAGATACGAAAAAAATGCAATTCCTTTTCTGATGCCGTTGTAAATGGTATCAGAAAATATATCATATTTTGGTTTACAATGAGTCACGGAATAAGGTATAGTTGAAACCGATAAAATCTTTTTTTTTTATTGTACATTCCTTTTTTTCTAAATGCTATTCATATTTAGTAGGATTTAGATTATAGAATCATATAGTAAAACAACATTCAAACAGAGTTAAAGCGGCCGAAACTTGGCGTAAAATATGGTAATCCTAATCGTTTTGAGAGAAATTGCTGTCTCTTGTAGTGTTAAATCCTCCTTCGCTTAAAATATCAAAACCTACAAACAATAAATCAAAATATGTCTAGCTATACAAAATATAACTGTCTATAATTTAAATACATGCAAATAGGTCTATTGTATTCACTATTTTCATGGGTCGTGTTGTTTTAGAGTTTGAAATAGAATTAATTTGGTTTTAACTGTTTTGTTTCACATAATTGACCGCTATAACTTGAACTAACGACGTATAGAGTTTTCATACGAAAACAAATAAAATTATACTGGACGCTTGTAGACTCTTCTAGAACTTTCAGCATAACTTATAACATATTGTATATTGATTACATTCTTCTTCTTTTACATACGAACTTTGAATACTTACAATTTTACATTTCTCAGTAAAAAGATAGCCTGTCCATATGGTGATGGATTAAGAATACGGAGTATTGCCACCCCTATTCATCCCGTGGGTATCGTAAAAGCTGACTAAGGGAGCAAACTAGACAGGAGAGCAGCACTGCAAAGAGAAGGAAAACTTGAAACTATCCCTATACCAACCCGTCTTCCAACAACTTCTTTCTAAAGAGGGGCTTATGTCCAACAGTGGACTATTAGAGGCTGTTGCTGCGATGTGATTTCTCAGTACTCGTAATTTCCTTCAAAAGTGCATAAAAATGAATCACATTACGTACTTTTCTCGGTGCTTATATTGTGAAATGACCATTATTATTATCGACAAAGGCACTTTTGTTCCATGCGAATTACTTTTACTTTCTTTCTGCCTAAATTAATATGAATATATAGATGTATATATATATGTATTGGTATTTTAAAATTATTTACGTATAAAAATATATAAACATATTACTGTTCTACATTCAAATTTTAATATTAAATTCACACTTTTGTTTGATAATTGATTAATGAACACATTAAATTCATGTAACTCACTTTAATTTTAATAATTATCACTAAAAACTCATTAAAGTTAACTAAGTAGAAACATACAACTGAGTTTTGTGATACTAAAGATATTAAATTACTCAATATATAATTAAAATTGACTAGCTTAGTACATATTTAAAAGACAGCTTGGTCACTCTAGCTTATGGACATTCGGGCATATAGGTTTCATAATATAAGTACCGACAAAAAGTATTCAATTTTTAAAAAGTACTTAAATTTTAAAAAAATGTAACTGAACTTTTGTTTTTTTATTTCACAAAATCATTAATTTGGTCTTCCACCACTTAGTAATTTCAACCATGACAACAAAATAAACTGTAATAAATTTTAATTAAAGCCGTCTGAGTACAGCCCTGTTTTGTGCAGTCAGTACAGGCTCCCCCAGCTGTATGCAATGGCTAGACAAACTCACGTCTCTATAAAAGGGACAGGTGATTAGGCGACTAAGTACAATCGGGCGCATACGCCGCTAGTACTCACTGCATAGGATATTATTACAACTGATACTGAAGTTGAATCGTGAAGTGTGAAAATGAAAATGGTAAGTTTTCAGTCTAAATTGATTCATATTATGTATATTTGATAGTCCATTTTATTAATCTGTACAATATTTATACGTACCATATTGATTATTGTGATTATATTCTCCTACTATGAGAGAAATTTTACGTCTTTATAAAAAGATAACCTTTAGATAAAATAAACGAATAATTCCTCCATACGGATGCCACATTTTAATATTAACAATTTGATATTTTAATTTCTAAAAAACATGTTTTAAATAAATCTCAAAACTAAATACGTGGGTATCAAATTTTTAATAGTGTAAGTTGTAAGACTTCGTTAGTTGTAGATCTAAATAATCAGAGTGAAATGGCTACAATTATAAGATAAAATATATTATCGTATCTACAAAAAGATGTAATAAAAGCTTGGGTATAAAATGTCAATCTAAGATTTAAGATAATATTTTAACGATGTATTTCAAATTATAAACACTTCGTCTTTCAATTATCTAAAATATATTATATCTGTCATCTATCGAATGATTCCTGGCAATAAAAACATAAAACATCTAACACTAAATACAAAAATTAACAACAAAATGATAACTATTTTATATAGATGAATATTAGAATTAATTGTACCACACCTTAAATGGACGTAAATGATTGGATAAATTATACCCATTTCTGGGGCATGAACTTTTGATCTCTGAAAATGGGATGTTGCACGTTGACATTTAGTTAAAGAAGGCAAAATATCACAGATAATCATTTATTTTGAGTTAAATGAAATAGGAAATATTATCTAATTAATTAAATCCTGTTTAAGGAAATGTGTATAAATAAAACTGTATTTATTTATTTATAAATGTGAATAACATGGTTATAAATTGTGTTTATTTGTTCCGTCTTCTAACTCAAATATTCTTAAACAGCATAATATGTTTTTTATGGAAATATTACTACGATACACATAATAGTATTACCTAATATCAATATCATAACAACACATTATTGTTCAAAATATACTTTTGTATTAATTAATTCATAAAACTGTTTTGCAGTAGGTTGAAACAACCTTTGAGACTCCATATTTTTCTTAAACTTATTTGACACATTTCAACCTTAACCCAATAAGCTGATTATTGTCTTTTTTGTCGATATGACTATAGATTAAATTAATGTAGACATTAAATACAATGTCAATGGATGAAATATTGATAGCTTTAAAATGTGTTTATTAAAGTTTATCAATACTAAAATCGCGATTGATGAACATTTGTGTCTTTTTCTCAGGTAAAAATATGTTCATAGAGTTTTATGCTCAAGAACAAAACTCTTTTATATAAAATTACCGATCAAACCTATTTTATTTAACAATAATAACCTCACACATCTCACACACGCCTGATCTTATTGATAAACATACCTACTTAAATATTTCTATATACGTACATATAATATTTAAATTACACCCAGACACAAAACAAATGATAGTGCTCTTCAAACAAATATGTGTCCTGGGTGGGAACTGAACGACCTCCGGCTTAGCACCCCATTTTACTAACCACTAGACCAACAGGTCCGTCATATTATATTTTCATTATATAAAAATATATTTATTAGATGGTTAGTTGGAACTTTATAGAAATCTAAAATGCTTTTACTTGAAACTTATTAATTACTTAATTAATTCGAAGCACCTTTTTACATTTATCTCGTTTTTGAATATGTGACCATACTTGTTGCGTAGGGCTAGGGTTTGCCGCAATTAATTATGCAAAGCTTCGTGCATTTATTGCATCTACAATACATAACCTTTCCTGACATCTGTGCTGTTTACCTCTGTGACAAGCGTACCATCGTTTTATGCAAATTTTGTATAAGCCTCTTCATATAAGGCGATAGCCAGAACATAAGTTTTGAATTTAAAACTTAATCATCCACGATTTTATCTATAAAACGTTTTAACATTTACCTACTTGCCAGTTCCGCTTCGTCCTTTCTGTCTTAATTTCATTTAAATCCATTAAAAAAAAAAGGTTACTTTGTGTTTGGTATTAAAATTTAAAGAAAAATACCACCTTCAGGGTTGAAAATTGATCAATCAATCGATTCATCATGTTGTTGGCGCATTGATACTATTTAAAGAGCTAATTATGTTCTTAAAACATTTTTTTTTAAACAAAAAGCAAGGCGAGTGTTGTTTTGAAAATTTTGCATACACAATTGTTGTGCACATAAATGTTGGCACAGTAACCGTAGTTATGTAGGAATAATACTTTTTTTTCACTCTGTATGTTTTTTATGAATTACATACATTTTGATTTACTTAATTTACAAACATTTTGACAGCGAATTTATCAAGTATTCTGAACGACATTATAAATAATATTAATGAATTTTCCATTACATTTCAGAAGTAAATTGTAATGATATTTCTATCAACATTTGTGATTAATGTAAAAATGAGTATTTCTTTTGAAGCAAGATAAAGAAAGAAAATGCAGTCTGAGTTGGCAAGACTACGGCTTTTATTTGAATTGACATATTTATTCAGACAGGTGAAAATTTATTACATGACAGCAGTGAGATATCTCAGGATTTCATTCGCTTTATGAGTCTTGTTTTTAGCATATTAAATATGCGTGTTGCATTCCTAATTTATGTTCGTTACATGCATGACTTTAACATGAGATAAACATGTTTTAAGTAAATGTAGACTACACGTACAAAATATACCATCTCTTTGTATTTATTCTTATGTTATGAGGCTGAAAAAACTTATATTTGAATATTTGTTTATACGTTTGTATATAGTATATAATTTAATGTCTCTAAGAACTGAGAGTTGGAGTAGATTTTGTATTGGATGTGGTATTAATAATTGAGAAAGGTTGTACGACAGCTGATGATACACCATCACGCTAAGACTCATGAAAGTAAGGTAAGCTCAAAAACACGGGTAATATTGTGGGAACGTCTAGTCAATTATAAACCGGTACGTAGTGGTGTTTCTACCATTACCATTTGAGTTTAATTGAATAAAACATATATCATGAACTTTAAATGATCTAAGAAAAAACTTAACATCGAGTGCTCATCGAATGCCTTATAGGATGACTTACGTAGTCTTCGTATACATATTTGACTGTCTATCTATTTTCCGTAAGTGTACTACCGACTTTATTGCAATCGAAGGAATCATCTACGTACAAGTAGATTATCTGATCACACTATGGGAAATTTTACAGCCTTTTAACACATATTGACATAATTGACTGTCTAATGATTAACCAATAACTTCTTGCCCGAATAACCAAGAAAAATACGATCTTAACATCATCATAGGCCCCTCCTTAGAAAAGAGATTTTGGCCAACTACACCAGAAGCTTAGTACTAGGTCACAATGCCGTTTCGTATTTTAATACTCACTTTAAATATGTTTAAATATGATATTTATATATATTAACTACGAGTACATCTGTTCTACCATATAAAAAAAATCATGAAATTTTTGTAAAGTCCGTCTCTGTATTCCTGTGAAGGCGTGTGAGCAGTTAATTAAGTGCACACCTTTTGTATTCGCACTTAGTACATTGTATTTTAAAGTGACTCTCGAATTGTATGACAAGTTCCCACAACTCAATACACTTGCAAAATAACGAGTATGCCGACATCTGCATACCACACAGCATCCACAGGCATTTACGTGGTGCTAAAAATAGTCTGTGGGTGACAAACGTTGACATGAAATCTTTGTTATATACGTTATTACGCTTAAATAGTTATCCAATTGTAGTTTTGTATTTCAACTGTTTGCAAATATATGGCTATAAGTTTAAATTGTTTTAATTATTTTAACAATCGTGTTTCAAAGGCTAACTCTCTCTACTCCTAAATAATTTGCATTCTGTCATCATTTGCATTTTGCATGCCTTACTTGATTGTGATTCCATATAAACTATAGTTAATATTTGGTATTCTCACCCGTATCCAACAAATTAATACTTGTTGCCTTTTATTTATTTGTATCACAAGAATGACATAATTGCTGTTAATAACGCTTACCTATAGAAGTCGATTAGCTTAATTTTAAAGCTTCAAATACGAACTCATAATTCATATATATTTGTATATATATATGTATATAGTATATAATATTATGTACTAGACGCTGGATTAGTAAGAAAGAATACGATAAAAACAAATATAGTGATTCCTTTAAAGTGAAGTTTGCGTATTCTAACAGTCAATGCAAACTTCTTGAATTAGTTAGGGAAACTAATTTACCTATTGATGTAATTTTGTTTTGTTCATTAGAGGTTCTCTCTCTCAGACAACTCTTTACAATTATTGTTATTTATTATTCGATGTTGTGTAAATATTTATTGTTGATAATTCGATACAGATCCCGTTTATTATGTTGCTGAACAATTCTTCAAACAGTATGACAGTATCAACTACAGTGTAGAACCTACAAAATATCTTTCATAGGATTCATTTTACTTGAAACAGTAACTTAAGAAAGAGTTGTAACTGAAAATGAAGTCAATAAAGAACTGAAGTAAAAGAAAAGTTTAGATCAAAGAAGTTGTAGAATAAAAAAATATATTATCGGTCAGGAATAGCCCATTTTCTGAAGAAATGTCTGTTTCTGACCTGACCTCTGACAAAAAGTGTGGACAATTTCATGATTATTGTTTGAGTGGTTGAGACCCGCTACACATTCACTTAAGCCCTTATTATCTTAGATAGGATTAGCTCATTTTTTACCATATACATATTTGCAAAATGAATATAGCACAGAACATATCATGTTACAAGTTAACAAGGCAAAGTTAATGATCGTTGAGCCGTGTCAACCTTAGTAACGTTATCCCTGTAGGCTCCCTGTAATCAATACTCAAGGTTGAGATGTATGAGTTTATTCATTAAACAAAATGGTGATAAATGTTTATTATTAGGATGAAATAAAATTGATCTTCATAGAGTGGCAACATTTCAACTATAAAATTTTATTGTTGTACATTACGTGTTTGTAGTTAGTATTAAGGTCATCCTTGTAAATTTTAAATCATGTTATAACTCAGTAAGTTTACAAATACAAAGAAATATTTATAAATATGTGTGATTTTACTATAATAAAATAATCAAAACTTGAACACGTTGTTTAAGCAGTAGTTAATAGAATATATATAATAATTATTTCGTCTGTTAAATTCAGCTTAAATTTTATTTTAAACAAAAGATTTTGCTACTGTCTTTTTCATAATATTGTGCAAGAGATGCCGTCCTGTCTTTAAAAGCCATTAAGGAAAACGAAGCTTAAAGATTTGCGTCTCCATATTAAACTTAAATCTTTTTGAATCATGCTCTACTTATTTTTATTTAACTATCTATGAATAACATTTTCTTTATTTAATTCTTTGTTTTGCATTTTGTGTTTAATAAATACTGATTCAGCATTCTGTTTTTCGTTAAGATTTCTGTTCCACTCCTGTCAGTGCTAGTATTTACGGTGATATTATGTAGGCAGACATTTCGACAAGTCTTAACAGATTTTGACTATGACCTCGGTGAATAAATTAAGTGCTTCAAAAACATTTAAACCGCATCAAGCTATTAAATAAAATAGAACGCGAGTCGGTTGTCAGCTTCACTTTTCCAATTATGACCTTAAATTTAGACTAATTGATTTTTAAATAATCTAAAACCTATTACAAAATTAATATGTGATGTCTTTAATTATCCTTATTAGCATATCAGACATAAAATCCTAATTGTAGGTATGAAGGTAAGGAATGAAAATTCTAAGATCGTTTTAAATACCTTTATTTATTTAAAACCGGGTGCACAGATTTGAACATTCGTATTAGACCTTTTAGGCATCACTGCTCATCGACTTAAATACGATTTCACTCCAATAACTCTTTATCTTATTTGAAACTCTTTTAGTAATAAATACTTTCTATTTTTTTACACTTATTTTGTATTTACAACCTTGGTATATAAGGGAATCAAAATTGCAAGTAATTACAATTTGTAAGAGATTGTTATTAAAATATCATAATCTGTTGTGTTGATTATAATATCTGTCTGCAAAAATATAGTTATGATCACCGATATAATTGAATTATTTTGAAATATACTTTCTTTGAAAATATTAATCTACTATCTTCTTTACACAGTATAAAATAAAGTCGCTTTTTTGTGTTGTACGCTTAGATCTTTTAAATCAAGCAAAGGATTTTAATGCAGTTTACACCAATAGAGAGATTGATTCAAGAAGAAGGTTCATATGTATAATACATACACATAATAGATCACATACATGAATAGAATTTCAAAGATTTGTCGTGTTAAATTTCTTATAGTGCACTTACACTGCAAACGCTGGCTACAGTTTTCGAGATAGACCAAAATAATGTACTAATTAATTGTATATCTTAAAAATATCTAACAATACGGTATTATTCCTTATCCAAATAAATACGTTTCATACGTTGCGCATGTAATGTAGATAAAAATTGCCTTCTTATAGCATGTTATTAAAGTACGATCTTAGTAGATATTAGACGGCTTAACGCGGCCCTCTGCGTCGCCGCGTCGTGGCGTAGGTACGTCTGTCCCGGGGTGACAGTGAGCGGGCCTATAAATATTTCATATGAAGATGTCCTGTAGTATAGTCTTATCATAATAATTGTAAAATTAATTACTCCACACTGACACCACATTATTATAGTAGTATCTACATTGCAGCCGTGCAAAGCGAGGGCGAATCGCTTGTAATGTACAAATAGATTTATGAATTAAGCTTCCTTTTACATATCTAAGTTTAAGTTTGAAAGCAATGCAAGTTCGAAAGCCAACTGTAACAAAAGGCCTTAATTTGAACTGAGTACTCTTAAAAACCTGTTTAATAACTTAAGAACTTCACGAAGAGCTCTAAAACGTGTGCATATTTGCATTTCAAACCTCCTCTGTGTATGTAGATGTGTCAGTTCTTTGTGTGAAGGCCGTGTTCCACAAACGGTCATTTACTAGAAGTCGTCCTGCTGATGTAATTAGCAGCAGCATAACATTTGTTTACCTAAGCATAATGCTTTTGACCTAAAGTAATGCTAGTTGACTAGTAATTACGTAATTCATATTAGCCGTGGATATTCATCCTACAATATTCTAACTTTGTTTTAATTACAGTGGGAGAGAGAGTGGTTATAGGTCGGAGTTATTCCACGGCAATGCAAGCATATCTATGAACGACGTTTCCAAATTTTATTTTTGGCATAATTAAGTGTCTGCTTACTTCAAAAGTCTAAATCAAGTAGTTTTAAGTTATTCACAACTTACATCGAAGCAGACGCGTCTGAAAAATCTGTATTCGTAAACATTCAGAGGCCTGTTTATTAAATATTTCTTGATTTACGTAAAATAATAATTTTCTAGGATTCAATTCTAAATAGTGAAATAATAACTTTTTTGAAATTGTATTGAAAAATTAATAAAGAATTAAAAAAATAACTCAAGCTTCTATTTCGGGGATGCTCGTCTTATTAAAACTGAAAGAGAGCTAAGTCAGCTTCATGCTGCCTCAACTTTAGTATAAAAAAAATTTCACATTTACACAACTCCATCTAGTCCCAAACTAAGCTGAGCTTGTACAATGGGTACTAGACAACTGATATAAATACAAATGTACTGTTTTTTTGTAAATTTATACATATTATACATTTAAACACCCACACCAAATCAAACATAACACAAAGTTTTGACTTGAGCGGGAATCGAACCCGCGACCTTTAGAATAGTAATCGTTACACAAACTACTACGACATCCGGTCGTCGTACCTACATGTTTTGTTTTAAGTCTGAACGCATCATGCCTTAGAAACACAACAGGCGCAAGGCACCTTTAAGGTTAATCTCCAAGTACGTACTTTTATACTGGCTAAATAAAAGTGAAAATCTTGTACGTTAATGCCAATTAATGTATAATTTATGTATAGTTTCAGTTCCAAAATCTGAAACTAAACTCAGTTGTTGCACAAGTCAGGAGTCATATTAAGTTCATCTATCTGTCAAATAAATCGCAGGTATAAATCGTAAGTTAATCCCTAGCCTTTTACTTTGTATTAAAAAGAACCGACTATGACATCATTGTCGGAATGATCGGTAATGGCTAATCTATGCAGTTTTAGTTCATTTTATTTCTCCATTTAAGTTAATAGATATTTTTTAGTTCATGTTCATGAAAACATAAAATATAAAGCACAATTTATAAAAGGATAGTGTAGATTTACATACAATCATCATAATCATAACATGTTATAGTTTTGCTTTTGATCAATAACCACTACTTGAATAACTACAGGCGCTACGCACGTTACTTTTTTATATGAAGTTGTACATAAACAATTATATTGAAAAATGATAGCTAGTAGTGTAAGACAAAATGCGCACTGATTTATTTTCGTATTCTCATGCTTATTCTCATTTGAACTAGTATAAATGTTTCAGTATCGACAGGTTCATTAAAAAACTATACTGTACAAAGTGTTTGCTTCCTCTACAACTTCTGATAAAGATACAATGTGTTGAAAGTTACTGTAATTGTAATAATTAAGTGTAAGGTACGTTGAAAATTATAGTGAGAGTTAATTCACATGAAAAAAAAACCATTTCAATAAACGGTTGAAGATTGCTTGTTAGGCGTACTAGCGGTATACAAAACGTAAGGCGTTATTAAATAATAACACTAATGCCTCTAATAAAGAGTCCATCGAAGTTCCTGGCTGTCAGTAGGTTTTTAAAATAATAATATTTTCGGACATCTAACACACAACGCCATCTAGTTTTAAGCTAAGGAGAGCTTGTACTCTGAAAGCTCGAAAAATGACCGTCAGATGTCGACTGAAGGAATTAATACATGTATTGTGTTTCTATTAATAACACTTACTATATAAATTCACATTTTATAGCATATGGGACAAACGAAAAGACGGGTATTTCATAGTAAGTAAATACCTCACGGACACCTGGAACTCAAAAGCCACAAGAGTGCGTTGCTGACCTTTAGAGTGCCCCTTCTAGAACTAGGAGAGGGGGAGGAGTTCAGGAGTTTAGTCTCTAGTAACCTTAAATATTCGGTGAAATACAACGAAAAAAATTGTTTCACATCAGTTTTCTGTAAGGCTGTGATAGAAAGGCCGAGTCGGCCCATATATGCCGAAGTATGGCTTTCCTACGACCTTAAAATTTCAGGAAAAATCAAACAATATCCCGTTGCAGTTGTTTGTGATATACGAGTATTAAAAATATTTAGATAAAAAGCAAGAAAATCTGCTAAAGTTCATCGGGAACATAAACGACGACCAATTATAGAATTGTATATGATTAAAATAGAGTTAACTCAGGAGGGGTCATCTGCAAGCCGAAGATGGGTACCAGGGTCGGGTCGGGGCTTCTACGGGACACTTGGTTCCTGCACCACGGTGGTATCCGAGGGGATTTCCGCACAGAAAAAAAAGGTGGTGAAACCTGAAAAATAGTATTTAGGAATTATTAATCCGATACTCACATAAAAAGCTTCCATGCAAACTTAGATGTATGCGTAATATACACACACACACAGCCATCTAATACTATAACGAGTACGTAACTACTACCGAAATTTTGATTTTCTGTATTAGATATTTAGGCCTATCTTAAAAAGTAAAAGGTTACATTTTAATCCTTTACAAAGGGTTCTGCATTGATGTTGACAGAGCTCACTGCACTAAAGTGTTTATATTTCCTTGTGGTTATTTTTTTTTAATTGTACTCAAGGCATGAATTCTTATCTATACTTTTTTTACTTTTCAGAGGGTTTTATTCCTGTTCGGAGTGTTGGCCGTTGTGTCATCAGCACCACAACAAGGCGGAGAAAAAGTGATAGCCATTGTTGCACAGGAGTTCGACCATCAGCCCGATGGATCTTACCGATACAAGTAACTTCAATATTATATCATCATATATGCAAATGTCATACAAATTATATATGCAAATGTTTATGTGTCTAGTTACGTAGCAAATATGTACATAATTCGTATTAGTCGTTCTATCTGATTTTTTCAGTAAACTTTACTATTTGTTATGAAAAGCGTACCAGCATTGTTTTGTGCTAGATTATTCTCGTCGTATTTTGGAAAACGGACGCGTATGTTGGTCTAGTCAGTGACCGACCACCACCGGTCCACGACTAGAGGTCTTGTGTTCTATTCTCTCCCAGGATAAATATTGTGTGATGAGCATGATCATTTGTTCTGTGTTTGAGTGTAATTCAGTTCTAATATGCATGTATTTAATATTATATGTGCCCGGTTGACAGCAATAGGCTTGTCCCTATTACATAAATGGGTCTAAAATTATAGTTGGTAAAACGTGAGACTTTAATAGACTAAATCGTTGATAAATACCTTAGTGTATGTTTTTGTTAAAAGGCCGAAAGGGTGATAACATAGTTTACTGATGCCTACAGAACAGCAAACACTATTAGAGACGAGAATTGAGACACTTTTTTTTACACCAATTCTATTTTGTGGAGATGGACCAGGTCTGTCATTAGACAGACTACAGGTAAAAGACTGCATACTATAAATATTCTGTAGTATTTTCATCAGGAACCTACCAGGGAATCCTGGGGGTGACAGATAGACGGACAGATAGTCAGACATATACACTTTCGCATTTATAATATTAGTATGAACTAGTATGAATTACATTCATAGTTGGTACGATCTTAAATAAATAAGAATTCTTTTTTTTTTCTTTTAAAAAAAGACAACTCCCGCACTAGGAATAAATCCTGTGTCGGGGGGGACTTTACAAACATATATGAAACGGACACAAAGTACACCCAGACTCAGAACAACAATTTGTGGATCACACAAAGTGTTATCCCATGTGGGGTTTGAACCCACAACACTCGGCGCAATAGAAAGCGGCGTGGCGACCGCTTAAACCACTACGCCATCCGTGCAGTCAGTGCAGTGCAGAATGTGAAATAACAACAACACCTAGTGCTAATTCTAAGCTCTTATCGATTTGCCATTGACTTAGATTCGCATTTACATCGAAAAGTAAAAGAAATATAATTTGAAAAATATACCCGTTTCAAATTCAAAAGTACCCTAAAATATGCCCTTTAGTCCGAAACGAAGCGATGGTCACTTTCCATCACGTGACCCGTCTGCTCGTCTGCCCTTCTAGCATAAAAAAGGGTCCCAGCGACCTAACTACACTTACAGACAGTCCGAAAGATGAACAAGAAATATTAGAGGCATGTTTTAACTTCGGTATCGTAATCAAATAATAATCATATTACGAGCTTAATTACTCTGTGTTTCCAAATCACAGACAGACATGTCAGTTTTATTTATATGCATAGATGTATAGAATTCAGGCACTGCATTCATAAGTTTGTATATTACATAATAATGACCAACACACACAAATTAACGCCTTTGTTATCATTGATTTGACCCCTTCATAAATCTGATGTAAGGTCAAACCTAACCTTACGTTACAAAGATTATGTCGCAATGCAGACTCACGCTTTGTTATACAATAGTTACTTAGCCTTATTCGTTAAGAAAAAAGGTATTTAAGATTTACTGACTTATCTAAGATTTTTTTTAAACAATGATGATAAACTGGTCCTTAAAATATCACAATTTTAATATAATTGTAACAATTTAAAGGTAAATCTTTTGATAAATTTGATGTTTCCGTGCTTTTCAGTTACGAGACAGAAAATGGTATTAAAGCTGAAGAGACAGGAACTCTGAAAAAAGCCAGCAGTCCTGATACGGCTGACGTGATCGTTGCTCAAGGAGGATTCAGTTACACAGCACCTGATGGCACTGTTATCAACCTCAACTATATAGCTGATGATGATAATGGATTTAAACCCGAGGTGAGTTTTTTAGTTTTTTATATTTAAACCCTAGTTTTTCTTATGAAAAAGGACAAAAATTAATATGTTCAACATTTACGTATTTATAACGAAACTTATTTAGTTTGAAGATAATTTGCTTTTACAATATGTAGTTTTGTTCTCAAACTAAATTTTCATGATAATTTTACAGAGCATTTTGATAATTTTAGCAGAGTTGTTTGCCTTATAAATATTTCCAAAATCTCATATCATATAGATAATTTGACAAAATAGGAAAACTCAATAGCGATTGTACCAATAATATTGTACGAATTCATGATTATCCTTTTTACTATGCCGTCAACGTACTAGATAGGTTTGTTAACAAGTTGATGTCATTGCTGAAATCTAAAGTAATAATTCAAAAAGTTAAATATGTTTGATTGTAACGAACAAACCCAAATACTAATTAATCGATTTAAAAAATCTGTCACTAGGTTTCCACATGTTTTTATTAAAAAAAAGATCGCCACAAAAGTGCAATATTGTAACAAAGTATCAAAAATTTGCCCATAAGCCATTATTTTAGTGAAAAATGACCACTTATAAAATTATTAATATTAATAATTAATACAGAATAATTAAGTTACAATACCCGTTTCTGGTTCAAGTTAGTCAATAAATATAGCAATAAAGACACGGGTAGCATCAAAAAATTGTCATTCGTATCATGAGCGTAATTATTATTCAGTTTCAAAATCAAGGTTGATCATGTAAACTATTCGAATCTGACCTTTGTGCATAAAAAATGACACGCTTTGAATGAACAGCCCTAAGTTCATAAACTAGAAATAGCTAAATAGTTGTTTGTACTTTTAGGTATACTTATAATGAGCTTTTGTCCCTCTGGAACTGTACCATTTTCTGTTTGAAAGGTAGCGTTTGGCAGCTAAATAAAATACAAAAAAGAAACATTGATTAATTAATTAAAACTACAAAAGGTTTTGTATAAAAAAAAACGTGTCTCTTAAACGATCGGCTCCATGCGTAAAGTATTAATTTATCTTCCTATCTATCTACCCATGCGAAGTCGTGTAGAGCCAGATAGAATCATCAAATATTGGATCACTGACCGACGTCAATGAGTAATTTACTATTAGAAAGTTATTTTATGAGGAAGTAAGACTATACTATGTTATCATAGTCTACTTTTTAATGCCAATATCCTTACAGGTATTGGTATCAACTAACATTATAATAGCAATAAATACCTTCTAGTCTGTCGGTGCCAAGCCAAAAAGGTACTTGCTAGGTTATGTGAATAAAGTGGCGAGACAGCTGCAAGAGTCTTCAAGCTGCGCATGCGCATTATTTTGTTACCTATATTATAAAGTAAATTTATTTTAAAAGAAATTTTATAATAAAATTGGAACATTGTTCGGCTGATTTAATGAGACTCAATTTCGTTTACACAGACTAACAGCGACAGTTGTTTTGGGAAAGTAAATAGTATGTAAAAAGAAGACGACTTACAGATAAACTGTACGTTCTAATGTCCTATCTCTAATTTTCAGGGTGCACATCTGCCAACTCCACCACCTATTCCCCCAGAAATTCAAAAGGCTCTCGATTTCCTAGCTACACTGCCACCACCACCGCCCACCAGAAACTAGAAACTGCCGCCTGTGACTTTTTGATGCACCACGACCACAGCATCTTATGTACCTGTTGACCACGAATACTCGTTTTGTTTTGGAAATAGAATTTATGTCTTTTTAATCTCTTAAATTTTGAATTGTTTAATGTTTATTCGATTGTATTTATAGAAAACAGGATCTCGTAATATTTTATTCATTACCAGTCTTTTATATTAGTATTTTCTAATGACTTACTCAAATAAATGTTTTTATGAATTTGACAAGCATATTTAAATTCTGTTAACAAAACAGTAGTAACGTTATAAGCAAGTATATTAGTAATTTAGTAAGCATTAAAAAACATACAAAAAAGAATGTACTTACTTATATGACTGAACTGTGATATACAATGTTGGATTTACGTGAAATGTTTGTATATTTATTTAAATAAAAGCAAAACCAGTGCCAAAGATGCATTGCAAAATGTTATGAGGTTTTCAATTTTATAATTATCATCACATATCACAATTTCTATATGTATAAGTCAACTAAAGAGCCGTTAATAAACGTTACTTTTGATGCAATTACACCATCTTTACTACCAGAATTAAAATTCTGGCAATGAAAAAACAAGCCCAAGATAAGAAGCTGTCTGATAGCAGATACGGGGGCATCATCTTTTGTGATACTTAGAAATGTAAATTAACCACCTTCTCCTTTATATAATCATGTGTTACGGGACTTAACGTGCTCACGATTCAGTACCTATTTTTGAATTGTCTGATCTTTCAACCAGGTTGCACTGGCCCTTGCAGGCTGATCAGCCTGTGAACTTATTTTGAAGTTCTCCATCTTTCGAAGTAGGTTACAAAAACTAGTTTTTAATAAGTCCAATATTTTTAAAGCCTGCGTTTTTAGTAAATGATCTGAATCAGTAACGTAATCTTAAATATTAACGTAAAAACATTGGAATTTATATCATACGCATCCTTGTACTAATGTTATCGTACACGTGAAAAATATCAAGGCTCAATTAGAGACAATTTTTTTGATACAATAGGCTAAGTTTCTTGTTTAACAAGATACAAATAAATATTCACCGTCATCAACGTGTTAATATGTTTTAGTTGGATTCTATGAACAGCATGTTTGTTTGTCCATTCAATTACAAATATGTACAGAAGTACACGTTTATCTAGTTACAGCATGCAGTTACATTGATAAAATCATGACCATACTTTAAGTTATTAGTATGGTAACTCCAAATATCGCTTGGAAGTCCATAATTTAAAATGAACATTAATGTTTTTACTAGATACTAATGATATTGATATAAACTACTAGTCATAGACTACAGATTAATTCAGGTCGTGTCCCGGCGATCGGGTTCCAAATACATATCTTTTAATGAATTAAATTAATTTAAAAAGATATAGCACAAATGAAAGAAAACGAAGCGGTTGTCTCGGTAAAGTAAAGTCCAGAAAAATAAATAAGAAAAAAAAATCAATATTATTTTTATTAAAATAAATAATTCTAAAAAAAATTATTGCATTCAAACCGAAAAACTAATAAAATAGTAATTCTTTTAAAATAGATAGTAATTCTTTAGAAATAAAAGTTCAGGATCAGGATAACAGTCGTAAAACTGTATAACCCTAAATGTTCCTTTTAAATTCTAATCTATTTTCTTCATATTTGATTTAGAAAATAAAACTCATTTAACTTGAAAGCTCATCAGTACTAGTTGGAACAACATTCCTCCAACAACCAGTTTTACTCAGTGAGCTGCGTTCTGTCAAGGTCAACGATAAGAACATAAAACAATGTGTTTGATCTATGGATCGACGATTGTAAGAGTAATTAACTACATAACCAGTTAACCAGTTAAAAATAAGTAAAATTAAAAATCATGCGTTATAAGTACAAATTTAGGTTAATATATAGCGTGGTATAGTAGGCCAAAACCTCCTTTCTAAGGAGAGGCCTATGTCCAGCAGTGGACTGTTAAAGGCTGTTGATGATGATGATGATGATGAAGTACAAATTTTAATTTACCTAAATATCAACACCGAAATGTAATTTGTGGTTACATTCGTAATATCTTTATAGAATATCGTATTGTTTTGTGATTGTATGCAAAACTATATAATTAATTATTAATGTCACCTTGCAAACATGAACTGAAGGATCAACCACTCCAGAAATACAGGTTCAAATACAAGTCATACAATATTGCGAACTGGTATTTCGTCAAGGGCATTTGATATACTTATTTTTTAAATAGTATTTGCTAAATAAATTCAGTATAATATATAGTGTATATTAATATTGTTTATGTATACCTCACAACTTTATTCTTAATTATAAGTCTAGTTAAGCTACGAAAAAACTTACTTAAATAAAGTTACATACTATTAACATACTCAATTCACAAATTTTAACATGTCAACATTCATTAAAGTCACATTGGAAAGTAATTAATTCAAAACAAATGTTTTTATATGAAAACATGCAAATTTACATTCAAATTGGATTTTCTACACCCAAGGGCGACCCAAGGCTAGCTGTCACCCAAGAAAACGAAGAAAAGGAAAAGCGCACACTAAAGTTGCAAGTGTGTACTTGTTTGTAAGTGTGTACGTGGGCAACATGCAAATAAATTATTTACACTGATTGGGCAATGAAATGTTTTACAAAATTTGTGTATAAGCTTGTCTATAATTTTATAAAGATTATAAGAATAATCGGCATCTGTGTGATTCATGCTTCATGATTGTTTAAGCAAAATATTATTTATTCATTTAAAATTTTATTTATTTACTAGCAACGTATGTTACCAAATAGCTTGAATTTTAAAACCATACAAACTTTATTATAGAATCATCGGTCGAATCGTTCCAAAACTATCTATCACAATCTTTAATACATTGTAGTATTTAGGTAGTTTTATAATTCCATATCTGTACTAGTATGGCTAACTTATTATTTACAATGAACAGTTGCGATGTTCATGGATTATAAGTATTTTATAATATATTCCTTTTGATATGTGTTTCTAGGGATGTAATGAAACAGTTTAACAATAGTCAGTAATTGATTTGAAGTAAATTATGCTTATAAATTAGGCTCTAAAATATTTAATTACAAACAAGATCTGCAGAAACATAACATACAATATTTACGTTAAATTAATATGGGATGAAAAAATTAAATATTAAACCGATAAATTACGCTCATGATCATAATAAAACTTCTTTTGTGAGTGACATAATGCCAAGTAAAATGATTTTTAAGTTAAGAATTTACAGTTTCAGTGATCGCTTTTAATTCTTTCAGTGATCGGTTCTGGTGTAGTTTTAGTCGCTAGAATTCTCAGAACACGTTGAATAGCTGGTGGAATTGGAGGTGACGTTGGTAAGTGAGCACCTACTGGTTGGTAGCCACCTTCTCCAGCTGTGTAAGACAAATTAAAGACGTTGCCGTCTTTGTCCTGAAATTATGAATATGAATTTGTTAATTCCAGTATTTAAAAATTAAACTACATATTTTTTACATCTTAGGTGATTTAATTATTCAAGTCTGTAACTCTTGCAAATACTTCAATATAGATCAACATAATAAGAGAGCAACCAGGTTTATCACCTGTGACTTGGGAGTCAGTAATTCGCAAATCACGACCCCTATGGTCGTGATTTGCCTAGGTGTCAGTAGGCCGAAACCTCCTTTCTGAGGCAATGCCTATGTCCAGCAGTGGACTATTAAAGGCTGTTTGATGTGTTCATCATCCAGGATCTGGCCTACATATGTCATTTGAGCCTTAACCGGTACGAGAACCGAGTTGACCACGATTGAGGTGGGGGAGGGGGGGTGAACCACGACGGGGCCTATGGAATAACAGGGCTTCCGTCTTATCCAAGGCTACCCGTGAGCCCAGCGCGTCCCGGCTTCTTTAACAGGACCAGCTTCCCGCTCTTCCAGCACTCAATGAAACGTCCGGAAGCCAAACTCGCGTCAAACACTTCCCCGAGGCGGGCCACCACACGGGCAGATATCCCGTATGGCCCGGGGGCGGTGTTCTTGGAGCGGATCCGTAGAACAGACAGCCTTACTTCCCAATCCGGGACGGGCGGAACATCATCCTCGTCCTCCCTGTCGTGTTTGGTGCGGCTAATGGCTAGCTTCAGAGTTTTCCGCGCCTCTCGGTACTCCTCATGAAGCCGGTCGTCCCCACCGTCTGAGCGGGACACCGCTGACTGCGCGTGTAGGACCTCCGGGCACGTATACAAGCCTCACGGAGGTCTGCCAACTCCTTTGATGATACACAACACTGGGTCAAAGAATACTGAGGTTCCACGATTTTCTTTTGTCAGTTTGTGCTATTTTAGTTCACTTCTTTTTGCAGTATACTTACCATGATACTTAATAACTTACCTTATACGAATAACCACCAACGACACCTGATGAATTTGAACTGCCATCTGCAGACTTTAATTCCCCTCTCTCGAAAGCCTTAGTACCGTCACCACCTTCGTAGCTATAAAAAATTGAAAAAAAAAAAACTAAATACAAATCCTCAGCTTATATTAAAAGTATTATTCATGTATTTAAAAAATTGAAATCTATTGAAATGAAATTAACTGTTGAATAAAACTAATAGAATCTCAATGGCAACTTTTAAGGTTTTGTGTATCAAAAATTTGCTAGACGTTTTCAGAATGGATAGCTGTCAATTAAAAAGTTTTAAATACACAATACTGAATACAAGCCAGTTGCCAGTATCATTAGATCAGATTAGAGATATTAGATACATGCGTAGTGTATCTAATGTTGTAGATATTGTACCCGCTTTACAAAAAAACAAAATACGTCAAAGATGTATTCTTGATTTACTATTTTAAGCGTCCTCGTACGGAGGTTCTGAAACCTTAAAATATTCAACTCGTTTCCCAATTTATTAAAACCCTTACTAGCAGAACATGTTATGATAAATAAGGTGAAAAAAGTTTTTAAAAAAGTAACTAAACTTATAGAGTAAAAAGATCAAAGTAAGATATAAAAGGTATAATTTTCTACCTGTAATGATAATCCCCATTATATGCATAAACATAATTATGTACTCCAACAATAGGGACAAAATTATCATGATTCTGTGTTGTTTTTTCTAATTTTGTATATGGTGTAGTAGTTTGAAAATAATTTTCATATGATTGAGGAGCTTGTGCTGCCACCACTTTCATGTGACCGTCTTTATTGGAGACACTACTAATAGTAATAGGTTTACTTCCTTCGTCTGTATTTTTAACTACTATTTTTCGTTGAGTTTTTATAATGCGTTTACTTCCATGATCAGAAATTGCACTATTTACAGTAAGTATTTCAGGCTCTTTTGTGCTAATATTTGAATTAGCTTCCTCATTTATAGTTGCTTGCTCAGATTGTAAGTTATCAATAGATATTTTTTCATGACCAAAGTTCTTACTAACAAACGTGTCAACAGATTTACTTTTAGTATTGTCTTCATTGATTTTTAAAGAGTCAAGATTTACAGTAAGTCTTTTAGGTTCTATAGTACTAGAAATAAGGCTGAACTTCTTATCTCCACTATTTTGTAAGTCACCAGTAGACGCTTTCTCTTGACGTATATTCTCATTAACAAACGTTTCAATAGGTTTACTGCTAGTATTTTCTTCCGTCTTTTTTAAATAATTAAGATTTGAAGTACGTCTCTGAGGTTTCATTATTCTAGAAGTTACACTGAGTTTCTGGTTTCCATTAGCTCGTAGATCACTTGTAGTTACTTGGTATTGATCAGTGTTCTCGTTCACGGGTGTTGCAATTAGTTTATTTTGAGAATTTTCTTCTTTTCTTTTCAAAGGATATATGTTAGGAGTCCGTGTTCTTGGTTTTATTGCAGTCGTAGTTACAGTGACTTTATTTTCTCGAGTAGCTTGTACATTACCTATAGATACCTTGTTTCGACCAGTGTTTTCGTTAACTATTGTTTCAACAGACGCAACGTTAGTGTCTTTATTTAATGAAAGACTAAGTTTATTGTCTCCAGTAATTTTCAGGGTATCAAGAGCTAATTCGATTGAACCAGTGTTATCCTTTACAAATGTTTTAACAGATTTATTGTCAGTTTCTTTTTTTAGAGTATAGAGACTTGAAGTAGAAGTTTTGGGTTTTACTGTACTAGTAATTACTCTGAGTTTCTCTTCTCCAGTAGTTCGCCCGTTACTTGTAGTTACCTGGTCTTGATCAGTCTTCTGTGTTGAAACAGGTTTAGTATCAGAATGTTCTTCTTTTCTCTTCAAAGAAGAAAGGCTTAGAGTTCGTCTTCTTGGTTTTATTGAACTAGTAGTTATAGTGACTTTTTTTTCTCCAGTAGCCTGTACGTTACCAGTAGATTCTTCGTTTTGACCAGTATTTTTGTTAACTATTGTTTCAACAGACGCAACTTTAGTGTCAAGATTCAATGAAAGACTGAGTTTATTGTCTCCAGTAATTTTGAAGGTATCTAGGGGTAATTCGATTTGACCAGTGTTATCCTGTACAACTGTTTTAACAGATTTATTGTCAGTTTCTTTTTTTAGAGAATAGAGACTTGAAGTAGAAGTTTTGGGTTTTACTGTACTAGTAGTTACTCTGAGTTTCTCCTCTCCAGTAGTGCGCTCGTTACTTGTAGTTACCTGGTCTCGATCAGTCTTCTGTGTTGAAACAGGTTTAGTACTAGGATTTACTTCTTTTCTTTTCAAAGAAGAAAGGCTTAGAGTTCGTCTTCTTGGTTTTATTGTACTTGTAGTTACAGTGTCTTTTTTTCCTCCAGTAGCTTGTAGATTACCAATAGATTCTTCGTTTTGAGCAGTTTTCTCGCTAAATAATGTTACACCAGACTCAACGTTAGTGTCTTTATTCAATGACAGACTGAGTTTATTATCTCCAGTAGTTTTGAGGGTATCTAGAGCTAATTCGGTTTGACTAGTGTTATCTTTTACAACTGTTTTAACAGATTTATTGTCAGTTTCTTTTTTTAGAGAATAGAGACTTGAAGTAGAAGTTTTGGGTTTTACTGTACTAGTAGTTACTCTGAGTTTCTCCTCTCCAGTAGTTCGCTCGTTACTTGTAGTTACCTGGTCTCGATCAGTCTTCTGTGTTGAAACAGGTTTAGTATTAGGATTTACTTCTTTTCTTTTTAAAGAAGAAAGGCTTAGAGTTCGTCTTCTTGGTTTTATTGTACTTGTAGTTACAGTGACTTTTTTTTCTCCAGTAGCTTGTAGATTACCAATAGATTCTTTGTTTTGACCAGTTTTCTTGCTTAATAATGTGACATCAGACGCAACGTTAGTATCTTTATTCAGTGAAAGACTGAGTTTATTATCTCCAGTAGTTTTGAGGGTATCTAGGGGTAATTCGATTTGACCAGTGTTATCCTGTACAACTGTTTTAACAGATTTATTGTCAGTTTCTTTTTTCAGAGAATAGAGACTTGAAGTAGAAGTTGTAGGTTTTACTCTTCTAGCAGTTACACTGAGTTTCTTATCTCTAGTACTTTTTACGTCATCTAGAGATACTTTGATTTGACCAGTATTCTCGTTTACTATTTTTTCAACATATTCACTGTCAATGTATTCTTCTTCGTTGTGTAAAAGCTGAGGACTTAGGGTAACAGTTTTGGGATTTATTGTGCTCGTTGATACAATGGGTTTCTTTTCTTTAATTATTTGTATATTATCAATAGCCACTTTGCCTTGCTCAGCATTCTCTTTGATGAGTGCTTCAAGGGTTTCGCCATCTGTATTTCCTTCTTCCCTTTTCAATGAATAGGGGCTAGTAGCAGGTGATTCTGGTTTTACTGTACTTGTAATCACATTGGGTTTCTTATCACCAATAACTTGTATATTAGATACTTCATCTTGATAAGTATCCTCGTCAACTACTGTTTCAAGAAATTTACTGTCACCTCCTTGTTCTTTCTTTTTCAAATTACTTTTAAGACCTAAAGTAGTCGGTGTTTTAGCTCTTACTGTACTAGTGGTTATAATCACTTTCTCGTCTTCAGTTGTTTGTACGTTACCAGAAGATATCTTACTATCAGTTTTTTCCTCTTTTCTTTTCAGAGAATAAACATTTAGAGTACGCCTTAAAGGTTTCATTTTTCTAGTAGTTGCAACAGGTATCTCTTCTCTAATAGTTTGTAAATTACCATTGGATACTTTGTCTTGGTTAGTGTTTACGATATCAGATGTTGTAGCAGGTACAGTTTGAACCTTTTCTCTTCTATTTTTCAAAGTACGAAGATGAGAAAAACGTCTTTTAGGCTTAATTGTAGTTGTACTTACAACAGGTTTCTTTTCCTCGGTTATTTGTTTATCATCAATGGTTTCTTCGTCTTTATCAATATTATCTTTAACAAATGTTTCTAAAGGTTTGTTTGGAGCTTTATCTCCCTTGTTCCTAATAGGACGAAGATTAAAATTACGTCTTTTAGCCATTATTGTACTAGTAGTTAAACTAAATTGCTTTTTATTAGTGGTTTGTATTTTTTCAATCGATACTTTGTCTCTGTCATTGCTCACATTAATATCTATTTCAGAAGATTTACTTTTTTTTCGAAGATTGAAAGGACGTCTTTTAGGTTTTACTGTAGTTGTAAAACTTGTTTGCTCGTTCTCTGTGCTTTGTATATTATCAATAGACTCCTTGGCCTGGTCACTGTTATTATTAACATCTGCTTCAACAGGTTCAGTTTTATCTTTTTCTTCATTCTTTTTCAAAGGATAATCAATAGTGCCCCCATTATCATTTGTTAAAATAGTAGTAAAACTAGGTTGGTTATCATCAGTAGTTTCTATATTACCAATAGATGTATCTCGATCAGTGTTCTTCTCAAGGAACGTATCAGCAGGTGTACTATCAACATTTTCTTCTTCTTTTAAGGAGTATGTTCTTCTTATTTCTTTATATTTTGGTGGAACTCGCTTGCTTTTATAAAATTCTACACTTGTTACATATTGTGCTAGTACTAAAATCACTAATATTTTCGAACACAAAACCAACATATTGTAATATTAATCTTTACCAATAGTTCTTGTATGTGGTCTTTATCGTATGCGTTTAACACAGTAAATGAAGATGGATCAATGGTCCATTATATCACGTTATAATTATGTTCACTTGCTTGACAAGTTTTATTTTTATAAAAACCTGTCTAAAAGGCACACCGAACAACACTTATAAACTGAATTATAATTTGGTGTCGTTAATATGATACAGCGTGTTTTAAAGATGTTAAAATATATATATTATTATACTTTGTATTCCGGTTTTTAAAATCTAAATGTTACTTTCAATACAACTATAATGGTATAGTCATGTATTGTAAACGACACGACAGAACCACACCACTGGGTTGTAGTTATTTTTTTTAATTTTGTTAACGGCACCACTGCTGACTAGTGATGTATAGCGTCAAATAAAACAATGCGTTATGTCAATTTTTAATAATAATGTTAAAGTTGGTCGCATTCACAAAGCATTCGTAAAACATAATAATTATATAATTTACAACAACAAAAACTAGACTAATTTAAAAAACTTAAAAAAATTCTGGATAACCCTTTTTAAAATGGTCATGGTCGTGATCTTACGAATGGAAAATAATTGATTTCGATAAATGCAAAAGTTTTGTGTTAGAAGTTCATTACGGTAGTGTCGTTACCAATAAAAAATTGTAAACGATACACCAGTGGTGTGGTTCAGTGGTGTCGTAAACAAAACACGGGTACAGTAAGTATTTTAAAATTTTAATGAGGTGCTATGTTTTGTTGATTTAATCGACGGTTGATCGACGACACTGCATTAGTTTTCCATGGTGACTCTTGGGATGATGCGTATGGCTTCGCACAACTTGGACTTAACGTTGTGTCCTCATGGCTTAAAGATAATGGGCTGACGCTTAATTCTGGAAAAACGTTTTTCTTGCCCTTTTCTATCAAAAGTATACCACCTATGCGGGACAACCATGGTATTATATATCATACATGCTCACCCTATCACCCTTGCTCTTGCGCTCACCTAAACAAAGCCTCCAGCATTAAGTACTTCGGAGTTGTATTGGACAGTTCCTTGAATTTTTGTCACCATCTGGACCTACTATCTTCAAGAGTTCGTAATCTAATCTTCCTTTTTAAAAATCTACGACATTTAGCAGAGGCACAGGTCATTAAAATGGTTTATCTGGCTCTCTGCAAATCTATGATAAGTTAATGTGTAACGGTTTGGGGCGGTGCATGTGAGAGCAATCTCATAAAATTAGAAAGAGCTCAGCGGGCAGATTTGAAGGTAAGTCGGTCCTTGCCATTTCTTCACCCTACTAAAGACCTGTATCGTCTTACCGATGTCCTAACAGTGAGGCAACTATTTATCTTGGGAATCATACTGAAACAGCACGCCGCTCTTACTTATGACTCTTCTACTCTCAATCTCAAGCGTCGGAGACATCATATCTGTGACACAATGCCCACTCAATGGACTACGGCGTTCTCTATGAGATTCTTTGGCTTTCTGGGAGGATATCTTTACAATAAGATCAACAAACAGATTAACATATACCCCTATACACGTTTCCATTGCAATAAGGCTGTCACATGTTGGCTCAAGTCCCTCAGTTACGATGAAACAGAAAATCTTTTATATATTCCGCCGTAATACAACACTATACACATAAGTGGGCTCCCATATTTTTTCTGCTTTTTTAAATTATATTATTATACACACACATGTATATTCTAAAACACATTTACGCACGCAATATTCTTTCATTTATGTACGAACACACTGCCACTGGGTAGTAGTTGTTATACACTCTCCCTCAACAATAACACCTACTTTACATCTAGTACTGCATTAATCCACAGCTGGGAGAGGCTGGTAATCTGTCGTACAGGTCTGTCCTAGTACAGATACCAGTCTTTCACATAGAACCATTGCAATTGTCTAATAATTGTTTGTTTTGTTTTGTTTTGACTAAAGTATTGCCGTACTGTGTGAGAGAAACAATAAACTATTATTATTATTTAATCACTACGAATCGTCACCGATCATGTTTCATCGCTGATACCTAAATGATTGTGCAATTTCATCAAGAACATATCCGTCAACTGCTAAGGCTGAAATATTTAGCGTCCGGTGAGGTTCACTTCGTACGAAAGCGGGGGGAGCACAGTGTAAATAATGATTCTTACATATAAGTGGTCAATAATTCTGGAGCGTCACTTATCAATGAAAATTGTGATTTGTTAGTGGAGATAATATGGTCTTAAAATTTATTTGTTTGTGTTGTGTTACGGCGTACATAATAGCCGCACCTCTCAAGGACGAGGTCTCAGTGCAGAGACAACAACCTACAGTGATACCAATTATTTCTTTATCTGCAGAATACGTGGCCGATGGAAAATTCAAATATAAGTAGGTGTTATAATTAAAAAAAAAATTAAGCTGATAAAAAACCTGTTTGAGATTCATTCTTTACTAGCTTTTGCCCGCAGCTCTGCTTGCGTGTGTGTGGTCGTCCGATATCGCGGTAAAAAGTAGCCTAAAAGATTTGTTTTAAATAAAATTTAAAGAGATTAATCAGTATCATATTCCTGGAAAAAAAATAAGTTAACTTTTTATTACGATTGTTACTTAAAACTAATATTATTATTAACTTACCTATGAAAGATTTTTATGTATATTTACAATATTTTAAGCTACGAAACCGGAAACGGCATAAAACGTGAAGAAACTGCTTACGACAAGGAATCACCCGAAGGTAAATCGCATTCCGACTGCAGTAATGAAGGCGGAGAAGATGATGACAGCGGTGAGATACACGTACAGAAAGGATCCTACTCCTATACCGCACCTGACGGTACACTTGTTAGCGTGAGGTAAGCTATATTTTTATTTATTAGCTAGCTGAGACCCGCGGTGTTACCCGCGTTTGTTGTTATAACCGCGGGCAACGCCGCGGGGCGAAGCTAGTCTAAAAAAGTAGCCTAAGTAACTCCTTATGTCATCAGCTATCTGCCAGTGAAAGTCTTGTCTTGTCTTGTGAACAAACAGACAGATAGACAGACAGACAGACAGACAAAAATTGAAAAAATGATATTTTGGCATATGTACAGTGTAAACATACATTTAGTAAAAAGCGCTTATTTTAATATTACAAACACACACTCCAATTTTATTTATTTGTATAGATTCATAGATTTTTGCTCACGCTCAAGAATTGAAAAGTTTCCCCTAACGTAGTAAATTTAAAACTCTATGATGATTGGTAGTGAGACATGTAGATATAACTATACATGTCTCCCTACCAATCATTTTAACAACTTTCGCATTTTAATCTTAGTATGGAGTTATTCATATATTATGTGAGTCCTAACTAAACTAAAAATATTCAAATAAATAATCTAATACATATACAATGAAAATCATACATGGTTAAATTTTAATTGTAGGTACATGATAAACCCATTTCTAATTTGTGTATGCGTGGATTTTTTTAATGAAAAGTACGCATACCATTGAAGAATTAAATAAATAAAACAGCAATACAAAAAAAGCTATCCGAATTTCAAAACCAGCTTTATATTTAAAAATTTATTAAGAATATATTCAATAACCCATTAGGGAATTGAATAACTAATGAATAAAACATATCGTGAAATGTGTTGGATCTGGTCTTAAAGATGAAATAAATAAATATGTTTAGAGTTGATCGGATCTATCAATTTTGTTGTGTTAAACTGTTGTGTTAAATGTCAAATACGATAACTTTTCAGAAATTAAATATTTTCGCTAACCCATTATTTACAATGAAAAGGGGATCTTTTGCTTTAACCAACGTCGCATAAAGGAGAGGTTTAACAGGTATTTTTATTTATACCACGTGCTTGTTTGTATAATGACATTTAGATTAAATATAAAATTTCTGATTCGATAAACTTTAAAGACCTTAATTTTTATATGATTTGAATCGTTTATAACTTTAACATGATAACAAGCTGCTGCAAGCTGATACAGACTCTCTGTTAGAGTATCCTTGATTTTATAGTTTTAATGGGTGTACTCCACTTAAAGGCTTTTTGCATTCTAAAATATATTTGTTTACTGTATTACTAACTGTATTTAACTTATTATACAATTATTTTATTAACCTTTAATAAATATTCGAAAAGGCTCCTGTTTATAATTTGTGGTCAGATATATACCTAAACATCTATCAACACATTATATATAATTATAACATTATATACGCTATGAATATTGGTTGTTAGAAAGATAAGGAATAGACTATACAGAAATCAGCAAATTCCTTTACAATAGATTTAGGTATGTAATTTTTTATTTATTTTCATTATATTTCTTTATAGAGATATAAGTTCATCATCATCATCATCATCATGATGATGATGATGATGAAGTTGCAGGTGTCCATGGGCAATGGTAATCACTTTCCATCAGGTTACCCTTATGCCCCCTACATATATCGTTCTTTCTGCCTCCTATATCGGCATTTGATTGTTTATTAATTAAAATATCATATTTTAGGGAGTTAAGCTAGCAAACTTTTAGCTTCATGATAAGCATTAATAAAGCGTTATTCTGAAACTTTTCGTCCTTCTTCTTTTTATATTTATTGTACACAAAGTCATATATATATATATATGATATTTTTTACCTTTATAACATAGGTTAAATTATCTAACACATAGATTTAAGTTACAATTATTTTTATTATTTTTATTCAAGTCAGATCATATAACCCGCCCCGCGTCGCTCCCGGTGCAAAGGTGCCCATGATACTGGCAGCATTGCCTCGCTGAATTGCAACGGACATTCTTTGCACCAGAAACGAGCTGGAGCGGGAGTCACCACTTTTATCCCTAACTCGGCGACCAATCTCCTTTATAACATTGTAAAATTTTATCATTAAACAGGTACATTGCTGATGAAAATGGATTCCAACCTATAATTACTGAGGTTAGTCACAATGGATCACCACTTTCAAGCGATCTATCCCAAAATATAAGACAAATAGATCATGGTAAAATAGCTAAAGATAAAACTACTGATCACTTTGAAACAGAACACGAAAATAATTCAAACGAACAAACTACTCCTACATCCAAAAATATCGAAGCTAAACAGAAAGACCTCGAAGACAAAATACCCTTAAAATTTGGTGATAAACTGAAAAAAAGTGAAAAACTAATAAAAGAAGAACCATTGAAGCGAAACCATTCGCACGATGAAGAAAAGGTGGTAAATGCGGAAACACCTAATAAAGAAAGTCAAAATTCTACTAACAACCTCATACCAATAGATAAAAAAGATAGAAATAAAACTGATAGTATTATACATGAAGAGCCTCTCTCTACTGTAGAAAAAAGCGCTAGTAAAAAACGTAAACCCAACACTAATGAACAAACATCTGATACGAAAAAAGTGATACCAAGTAAAGTGGAAAATAAAATGACAGATGAAGAAAACAAAGAACATGTACCTGACAATGATAACATAAAAACTAAAAATGCTACTGATAAACCTAGTAAAAATGAAGATGAATCTAAAAAAAACGATAAGGCATCTTATCATGGTAAAGAGATGTCTGATAATATGAAACCAAATGTAAAAATAGCAGAATCTGACAAAGTGAAGGAAGATCTTGCCCCAAAAGAGGAAAACTCTTTTAAAGCAGAAAATGCCAACGATAAACAAAAAAATACAACAGACAAAAATAAAAAAGCTAATCCAGAAGCACAAACAAAACAATTGGAAACAGAAAAAAACACTACGAAGTTGCCGGAGGCAGTAGTCGAACCTCAAGAAAATGAAGCAAATCATACTAATTCCAAAATAAACACTGAAAAAAAATCTCAACATGAATTAAATATACCAGAAAAGCAAAATAAAACATCTGAACATACCGAAGCGGTGAACACCAGCGGAGAATATGGTTCTAAAAATGTATCGAACACACCTAAAAACAAAAATGCTGATAATTTACACGATTTGCGTAATAATAAAATGGAAAATTCTCAAGAAAGAAAAAAAACAGAAAAGAAACCCTCAAAATCTGAAATCGAATTTGCCAAAAATAAAAATGCATTAGACAGTAAAGACCTATTACCTGAAAAGAAAAAAAATCAACCCTTATTAGAAAATGCATCAAGTTCCCTTAAAGTTGAAAAAAGCTTAGACAACAGTAAAAAAAACGAAAGTTCACCATCTCCTAAAGCAGATGGGCTAAAAAACAATAAAAGTGATACCTCTGATAGCATAAAAATGAAGCCTTATAAAGAAAATAAAGAGCTTCCTAAAGAAGAAATAAAAATAGCAAATGAAACAAATAAGCTCGAGAAAAAAAACAAAACACTCAATTACACAGGTGGTATGTCTGAAAGAGAAATTAAAAAACCTCATGAGTATGAAAATGTATCTGTAGAATCTGAACAAGCACCTGTAAAATATAGAATTCAATCATCTGAAAACAAAGAGAAAAAAAATGAAATGACAGAAAGAAACCCTGACGATATTGTTAAAAAAACTGACGAGGAAGAGAACAAAAGAAATGAAGATCAGAAGAATAATCAAAATCGTAAAGAAACTTTGGTTAACTCAACAGATAATTTAGCTAATAAAAATAATAGTGATGGGGTACCTCATAATCTTGAAGAAAAGCCCCCAAAATTAGAAAAACAAATGATCTATAATAATAATATATCTAATAATAAAGAAACAAATGAGGATATGACAAAGAATTTAGTTAGTAAAAAGGATAAATCTTCACCTAAATCTAGTGAACATCAAATAATTCCTGCAGAAGAAGCAACAAGAGATAAAAAAGAAAAATTAGCCAAAAAAAATCCTTCTAAAGAAATGGAAGAAAATAAAATACCTCCAAATAAAGAAGAAAATAATATTCTCAAGAAAAACGAAACGTTGAAAAACGGTGAAAGTGTTACTAATAACACTGAAAAGACAGCATCACCAACAGAACTGTTGAATGGAAGCCTAACAAAAGATATTCTAAAAGAAGTTCAAAAACCTGTTAAAGAAGCAGAAAGGCATGAAAAAGTAGCTGAAAAAGCTGCCAAAAAAGCCGTTAAAGCTGCTGAAGTAGCTGAAAATGCTGCTGATACAGCTCAAAAAGCTGCTGAAGATACAGAAGCAATCATAAAGACACTAAACCAACGTGGAAATCAGTCACGGGAGCTTGCCATTAGTGCAGCTATAAAGCACGCAAAATTAGCTGGAGATGCCGCTAAAGAAGCTGTTAAAGCTGCTGAAATGGCTGAGATTGCAGCTGATAATGCCAAAAATGCAGCTCAGGCAGCCGAAAAGGTAGTTGAATTAGTTCAATCCTCTTCAAATAAAAAACATTACAAGGAACTAATTAGCAAAGCTGGAGATGCTGTTAAAAATGCAATAAAATCTGCTAATGATGCAGTACACGCTGCCAAAGATGCCACAAAACAATCTGAAAGTCTTCCGGAAACTGACCCTAAAAATATTGATGCAAATATAAAATCAAATATTTAAGACTCATTTTAGAGTTGACATGATCTAAAAGTGTTTTTTTAATATAATATTTTTAAGTCATCTTAGATTATGAATATTTTGTAAATAAATGTAAATATTTAAATTTTTACGTGTAATGTTATTTTTACCTTTTAAAATCTACCTTTTTCGACATGCTTCGTCTTATAGGTACAATGAAAATGAAACCGAAAAAAGAAAGTAAATGCCAATGAACAATAGGCAAGATGAAAGGATGATCATAATGTAATGTGTGGGGCAAGCTTCTACTAGGGCGATCTGTGGCAATGGCAACCGCTGTTTTGGTTTGCATTCCCGGGCATTTAATTTTGATTGTCATCTAAGTTTGTCTTGAATTTTTGAAAACAAAGAGAAGTCACAGGGTGCGAGGTCTAGTCTGTAAGGCGATGTGTCATCAGTTCCACATTTGAAGCCTTCAAATAGGCTTTTGTTACCTTAGCAGAATGTGAAGATGCCTTATCGTGGTGAAGGAGGACATTGCTTCGAGGACCCTTGTCGGTCGGTCCTTTGATCTTTAAGCGATAATTTAGTATAATTAGATATTTTATTTATATTATAGATTAGATATAATTAGATTTGCCGAAAAAAGGAGCAACAATTTTTTTACCAATGCTTTTCTTAACTTTCGTCGGAAAATCTTCAAAAGAAAAGACCCACTCTGCCGACTGGCTTTTTCTTTTGGGTTCAAAGCAGTGCACTCAGGTTTCGTCACGTGTTACGATATTATAGACAGCCAATGACCATCCTCTGTAAAACTTCTTTATCATTTTACGGCACTACTGGACACGTAGTCGTTTCTGGTCCTCCGTTATGTCATGTCATGCGGCGAGTCCGGCACATCCATCGAGTGCAAAGCTGAAGAACCTTTAAGTGCACATGTAAAATGTTTTGCACTTGGCTCATAAGAATAACAAATTACGAATTTGCAGGCCAGTAATTTTTTGTCAGTTTCAATAAGTTGTCGTACGGTGTCAAAATTAGAGTATGTAACCGCAGTCGCCGGCTGACCTTCACGTACCTCGTCATGGAGATGATCACCTCTACGTCTAACTTCTGCAAACCACGAATACACAGAGCTGCAACATGGTGCTTCATCATCAAATGCGAATTGAACGAAAATTATTAAATGAAAATGTTCACGAGTTAAATTCGTCGACGTCACAATGAAAAAACAAATGACAGACTCGCAAATTAAAAATAAACATATATCCAAAGAGTTCCATTTTCGAAATTCCTTAATTGTTTTCTCATCCTTTTATTGTAAGTGGCCAAATTCAGAGACTTTCAGTATGCCCCACGTATTAACTTGGTAATATGATTTGGGTGAGTAAAAAATTAAAACATTATTATTATTTATTTTTAACTTCCTTCTTGAGAAGAGGCCTATGTCCAGTAGTGAACTATTAAAGGCTGTTGATGACCTTAAAATTCATGAACTGATCTTTCTTATAAACTGAAAACAATTATTAAAAAAGCGTAAAGCGTAAATCTTCAAAAACTCTAATCCACCTTGCGTGAGGTATACGACCCGTTGTAAATTTAAATATCAGTTTAAATTAAATGTCAAGATCAATTCTTCAACGCATAATGTAAAGCGCCCATTCCTCCTCTCACTTTTGTTGTGAAACCAATGATGTCTAAGGTACAGGTACGTTGACATAATTTTGTACTTGTATCCTATTTCAAACTACAGACAATTTTGAATCAATAAAATGTTTAAGTAGTATTTGTGTATATTTGTAACATACTAATTTCATACTCGGCACGCAAACGAATAATGTGCCTATTAATTATTATGCCAGTATAAGTAATAACAGTGTCATGCTTTACGCAGGACCATATAAATGTATCCTGTATGAGTTTTGCGTTGATAGGTTCCTTTTTTTGACGGGGTGGAAAATCCCTTCGGATATTGTGTGTGTGGAAACCCCCTCGGGCGACACCCCACCGGGATTGGGTAGGGGGTATTCGGGTAAGGTGGCGCGGTAATAATTCTAACGCCATATTTGTGTCTGTCTGTTAATAACAAAAAAAATATATACAGCAACAATCAGGAACTTTTTTAAGTCTGCACTGTAATGACAAATTTCTATACTTTGGTTAGTAGTGAAACAAAACCAAATTGCTTGTCTGTCTTGTCTGCAACTGTCGATAAAGAAACTTCATTAATTCAACAGTAATACTTGTTAATCAAAAGTGGTAACATACAATAAAATAAATCATTATCACATAGGTCTCACAGAGCCTCTCAAAATGATTATTCAGGTGGGACCGGTAGCAAAAGCCACCAATTGTTCAATACTTTAGGCCTACATGAGAGTGCACATACTGCACTTATCTTACGTACGCCATTGGACAAGGTTATTTTGCTGGTTGACAGTAGCTAAAACTAAACTTACGTATAGACACAAAAAGCTAGTTATATTTACGTTCGTGGCATAGATTTGACAACTAAGTTCAATTTTCTATTTTTTTTGTAATAGTAATATTTAGACACACAGTTTTTTTTTGATGACGGTATATAGTTTTGGACCTCCAGCTTCTAATGGTCACCATTGAGGTAATGCAGGAGCCAGGGCTATGTAGTGTTTCCAATAAAAACCACCTCGACGGCTTACCTTAGGCTCCCTACTCCGATCGGACATCGAGGTCCCCCTCCCTGAATCCAAGATACACTGTAATGACCTGTGTTAAACTGTATTTTATCTTCAACTGGGACTAAACGAGAAGTGTATCTTTTTAAATAGAAAGAATTGCCCAAATTGGTTCATAAATTGTGAAGTTCTCAGGTAACAAGTAAGTAAGGTAACAAAAATAACTATAAGAAGATAGTCGAATTGAAAACCTCCACCTTTTTTTAAATTGGTTAAAAGTAGAGATAGATCTCTAGAAATATGATTTTTTCTTTATTTTTATTTACCTTATTCATTTAACCGTCTGTCGTAATCAGAGAACGTTGCCTATACAATGTTCTAAATAGAAGAACTTGGTTGTCTGAATATAACTGGTTGTCTTTAAAAGTACTAGAAACACATAGGTAGGATAACTTACGATTCCAAGCAAAGGCATCACAATTGTTTTGGTATGTTTTTAAATAAAGGTAAAGAGTTTTTGTAGACATCAGAAATGTTCTTATAGTTCAGATTAACATATGAGAACAACTTACTTGAGATGTTCGATATGGTTTAAAAATACCTATTATACATTACATAACAGTCAAAAAGTCGCCTCTCGTTGTAATTTTTACTTTCACTGTAAGAGTCTATCTGGTATTCGACAGATAGATATATAAGCATGTACTAAGAATATTTCAACTAGAGATTAATATCTAGAATTCACACGATGTTATAGGTATATTATTAATCTCGCAGATGTCTTTCAAAAAAAAGAAACACAAATCATGGAACATAAAAAAATATTACAATAAAATAAAAATAAAATATTATTAAAAGTTATCACTGAATTCTTTATAAAGTGAATAGCTTCCCGCCCTATTCAAAATTTAAATAGTGGACGTCTTTGGGCTAAGATGATGAAATAGTTACATACATAGACAGAAATTTGATTTTCTGAAAAAAAAGCACACTAATGAATAAAATACAGGTGACGTTGCGCATGGCTTCTGGTTAATGTCTATCAATAGAAATTTATAGAGAAATGCTAATAATAAGTATTATGAAAATACATAATATGGCGGCCTTGAGGCAGACCACCAGCCCGATGGTCAGACGAAGGCTGTAGGAGAGCAATGGATCCGGCTGGCATAAAACCGCCAGGAGTGGCGTGATAGAGAAGAGGCCTTTACCCAGCAGTGGGTGCAACAGGCTGCTTATATAGAGATATATGTATATATCTATATATATATATATATATATATATATATATATATATATATATATATATATATATATATATATATATGTATATATATGTATTCCTAAAAGCTTTCAATTGATTGATATAATCAAGCTTATGAAATGAGTATAGTTAAAATTTACCACTACCATATGTGATTATACCATTGTGCCACTACCATCACTAATAAAGAGAATACCTAAATTTAATATGGTTTAGTATTGGTAAAGTATATTTTTATTACTATAATATTTAGTATTTACAAATGATCCCGTACCTACAATTAAATAATAAAATTACAATAAATTTGTACACATAAGTGCATGAAAATTGAAACTGTTATGGCAAATAAATAAAAGAAGGGAAAAGTAAGGATTCTTACTATTTTTCCCTTCTTTATATATCAGCGAAAATTTAAAACGTTAAGCGTGACAATTATCATAGCAATCCAAAACATAGCAGCGTAATTTAAATCATTTATATGGTTTGAATGATTTTATTAATTTATTATTATTACACTAAATACACCACTACTATCTCATTTTTCTTTAACATTGGCCGAATGTCATTGTCAAAGTTAAAAATGCAACAGCATAATGTATTCTACTACATTCTACTTCGATGAATGCATATTTTTCACTATGTTTCTTCGAAACAATGCAATAAATAGCTATTGTTAGCATTGCATCACAGATTTTGAATAGGATGCATATTTGACGAGAACCAAAAAATATTAAAGAAAAACTATATTGCATAGAAATACAATATAGTTTCATGTATTATTAGTTTAATAATTTTAGCATATGGTGATGGTGAAGTAGAAGTAGTAAAGTAGTATAATAAATAAGAAATACTTTGGGTATCCAACAATAGAGCGTCACTATGTTGTCCTTGCATAGCTCTTTTGTTTCGCCCACGTGGATTAAATTCTATTCAACTGTATACTATTTGATGTGACTCGCTCCTGATTTGTACATCCCATAATTGACAAGTGACTTGCTCATACTACTGCAAGTCCACCGTCACAACAGTTATTTTCAGTTATTTCATAGTACTTACCTTTTGATATAATGTAATAACTAGCCTTGAAGTCTTAACTCATCAGCAATAGAAATGTCTCAAATTTA